TCTGGGCTGGGGATATAGCTTAGTTGGTAGGGTGCTTGACTTGCATGTAGAAGGCCCTGGGTTCAATCTCCAGCACCATGGGGGGAAAATCCAATGACTCAATATGACATGAAAACCTTCTTCATCTAGTTTCTATTTCCTTTTATAATTTCATCTTTGTAGACTCGCTCAACTTGCCTATATCTTCCAGCCAGATTCTAAATCACTTAAGAGTTCTCTGGTCAACAAGTCTGGAGATTTTTTCATGTGCTGAAACTTGTACCAAAAAATTCCTTCTCTATGATCATCAATCTAGTGAACTCCTACCAACTGTTTAGCACCTAGCTCAGCCCCATTACGCACTCTGGAAGACTCTCTACATTATATCACCAATCTTCCCAGTACATATCTCTAGGAAAAATTTACCATATTCTTCATATTTATATATTTAATTTCAGAGCTAAACAAAGAGTTCCTTGAAGGCAGGTGCCATATCACATTCGTCTTTGGCAGGACATGTTATTTATCTGGTGCCCATGAATGTTGTTGAATGAATAAATTAATGAATCAGTAAGTCAACACGACTTCCTTCCTACTCCTTTTTATCTAAGTGTACTTTATGTGTCCTGTGAAATCTTTATGTAAATATCATCAGTTTCATGGACTGCCAAATACATTGTCCTTCCAAATGTCTTCCTAAAGGCTTGATCTTATATGATGATAACTGAACCTTTTCTTCACCTTCGGTTTTTCTTTCCCTTCCAGCTGCTAGTGGCCTTTACAACACACACATAAGTTAGTGGAGCAAGTGAAATAGGCAACAGGTAAATTAGATAGTAAGAATGAGGTCAAAGGGACAAAAGTACTCTTTGCTAATGCCAAACCTATCACTGCACATCTTAAATACCACTACACTTGTAAAATCAGCAAAGCAGACAAAAATACAGTTTCCCAATGCATTTTATTACCCAAAGATAACCACAATCTTTTTCTTAATGTATTTCCTTCTGGTATTACGTGTAGTCACACATATTTATCTTAACAAAGTGTGGTTCAGAATATGCATAAAGTTCTATATCCTGCAATTTTAATTACCATTTTACTATGGCCATTTCTTATAATTTTCCAAATATGAATTTTAATGAATATGTAATTTTCCTTTGTGGAAGTTTGTGTAATCAAATCTTGATTTCCTAAGCTACTGTAGGCAAATTGTACTAAGAAATGATGGCTATCTAATACCTATTAGGTTAATTTAAGTTTGTCAATTATCACCTGCTATATAGAGAATTGAAAGAGAAAGACAAATTTGAATCTAAATACATAGTTCTTGAGATTTTTTTCATTCCACAGAAAGAATTTATTGGTTAACATTTCTTTGATATTAAATAGTGAAGAAGATTTTAGCAAGTTACCTAAAGGTCTTAAATTAAGGATTGATTGATTAATATTTCTATATAACTTTTCTCCATCTCATTTCATCAATATGGCACTTTAGGCCTTTTCTCTCTTGCATCATTATGCACTGACCTTTCCATTGTTAATGCTTCTATTCTATGCCTGAGTAGAGAGAATTTTTTTCCTCTTTTCAGAGATTAGCTGCAAAGAAAATTTATGTGACATTCAAAAGAATTATTTCCAACCTACCCTTTCAAATACCTTTCTGACATCTAATGATGTAATTCAGCTACATTAATTTTAGGGAGTAACTAAATTTGCATGATAAAAAATTTGATTTTGCTTCAAAAACATGCATTCTTTAAAATTAATGCAGTTTTTTTCAAAAGATACTAAACTACATTTAATTCAGTTACTCTATTAAACTGTGTATTCCATTTCATGTTTACTATAAAACTTGAGTCTATGTCAGTATTGTAAAATTGACTCTGATCCTTTACAAATATCCAAATTTCCTCACTAATAGCCTTTTTTTTTTTTTTTTTTGATGTCCAGGGCATCTAACTCTCCCCCAAAATTTTTTTCATGTAGATTATACACAATAATATTCTCTAAACCTTAGCTTCTCATTTTTTGTTCTATGTAACTTAACTTCTTTAGGATGAGGAAGAACATTATATAAGTAGGGATATTTTTACTATATAAGTTGGGACAAAAGTAAGTGAAAAATTCCATGTTATAAGGCAATACCTCCTGGAGCCTTATAACATGGAAAAGAGGAAAACAGAATAAGAATAGAGAACAATAGGTAAGATTTACTTTGCATTTCAAAAAGGATGACTTCCTCCCCATCTCCTCCAGCCAGTTACCAAGGAGCCCTTTTCTTCCATTGCAGGACTGATTACCCTGGAACACAAAGCACCCTTTTATCAAACATTTCCACTATTTTTTATTTGTTTTTGTCAATTACAACTAGCATGATAAGTATATTGTGAGTTGTACGAGAAAGAAGTGAACTGAAGCACACTGGAAGGCTGAAAGGAAATAGTCCAAATACTTCAGAGAAGAGCTTTTAACTATGCACCCAAATGGCAATGTCCCCATGCTTCTATGGTATGACTCATTCAACAAGCTTCTGCTCGCATCTCTTTTGAGATGTTTCTCATTGTAGAGGACCTGTAGATATATTTATTTTTTTATTCTTAAAGGATTGATCTTCAAGATATATCTGGAATCTATTTCTTCTTCATTCCATTACTGCAATTCTAAGCCAAGCCACTACCATTTCTCTGAGGATTGCAACAAGTATTACAACAATAGCCATCTAATAGTTCTCTGTACTTCCATAATTGCTCATGCCCAATCTCACCTTCAAAATTTCCATCTCAGATTTTTCCTTAATAGTCCTCAAAAATAACCAATCTGGCTTCCATCTCTGTGCCTTTAAACTTATCAATCTCTCTTTCTGCAACGTTCTCCTACAATTATATGAGAGGATTGTTCACTCACTTCTTTTGAAGAACAAATGAATACATAAAAATCTTTAAAAAATTATACAGTTGATTATTCTTCACAAGGGAAATTCATATGTGTAATGAAATAGTACCAATTTTGGTCTGAGATCTATGATGATATAAATGTAAAAGTTGAAAAAAAGAAAAGTGATCTTAACGTGAATATAAAAAGCATTTAAGAAAATTAAATTAAAAGTCATTACATGCTGAGTATTTTCTTCATTTAAGAGTAAATATTACATGATAGACTGGGATATATATATATATATATATATATATATATATATATATATATATATATATAATATGTTTGATTTATAGAATCCACTGGGATACAGCTGAGAATGATGATTCTGGAAATTAACAACTTCCCCGTTTCCAAAGTAAACTGGAACATGGAAAATTAAGTGATTCTCCCAAATCTCCTAGCTAGTGTTATAAAAGTCACTACTAGGAATGCACATTTTCTAATCCAATGTGCTTTCCACCACCCCAGGCATTTAACGTCTTGTGCTCTATGGTACGATATTCACAGTGACATGCATTGGCCATAGGGCCATAATTATACCTTTCAATATAGAGATGAAATGAAGGTTTGCTTGGATTTCTTTGTTTAGGGGCTAAAAAGAAAAATCTGCTAAACTGAGTCGTTTTTTCCTTACAACTTAAGAAACATCTTCCAAAATGGCTTCTGGCTTTGCCTGACTTTCTGAAAAAAAACAAAATTGCTTAAGTAGAAAAGAATATGAAACTGCTGAAGAAACTCACAGCTGTATCTTTTTTCATATCAATATTCTTTATAAAATTTCAACAGTTTTAGTAAAAAAGGTCTATGTGTCCCTCTGGCAGAAAATACCCAAACCTTCAAATTCCCTTTCATGAATAACTTCTAAACTTAAAGCAGAATATTTTCATGTGTGAGACACTCTTTAAAGTAACAGGCAGGTTTAAAAACAAGAAAGAAAAACACTTTTTCTGAACAAATGTGTGGTTATTGTTGTGTTCTTCCTCCTTTACTCCCACTGACTCATGATGATCTTGGTACTTCAGCTTTTAAGAGAATACTCTGAAACATAGTTATGAATGTTATTCATTTTTTAAAAAAGCTATAGTGAACTCAATTATAACCATATATAAACCTATTGTAACATCCATTTTTTCCCTTGTAATTGTCACATATATGGGCCACTTCTTATGCCCCGCAATTAATGAAGGACAGAAGTATGGACTCCAAGACCTGTTGTCAGGCATAGATAGATTTAAACAAACAAACAAAGACTTGAGGCATTATGTATTTTTCTGTAAGACATTTTGGTGAATTCTAAAAATAACTCAAAAATAATTCTGTTCCCCAATGAGAGCTCATCCCTCTCAGTGGTATCTTCCTTTCTGTTTTCTCCTTCAATCTACCCTATAAATTGTAACAAGTGGGGATACATTTTAGAGGAATCGCAGAAGGAACATCCTTTGCACATGTCATTGTATTGATCAACTTGGAGAGAAGCAGGTTAATTTCTGTTTTCAGAGAGCTTTATTAATATTGGCTTTTCTAGAAAACTTGTGTGAGTGTGGAGGGTCATTAAGTATTAGCATTTTTCTACCTCCACACCAAGAAAACTAAAGTGGCTGCTCCATTGGAAGATCTATAACAGTTTGGAGGAGATGTGTAACCACCTACCCACTGTCATGTGCAGCTTCAGGGTGCCACCCTGCAATTTATTTTGCTCTCTGCATGTCTGTTATACTGTTATTCCTTTCTGTCATCATTGCTGGATTTCTGAGCTCTCCTATTGCTTTCTTAAATATTTATTTTTAATAAACAGTAGTCGTACTGAACATAAGAAACACCCGAAATTTTTACTGGAAGACCAAGATAAATCAAGATGATTGTTTTCCTAGTTTTTCAGATGTATATACATATATGTGCATAGTATGTTGTGTATATATATATATATATATATGTGTGTGTGTGTGTGTGTGTGTGTGTGTGTGTGTATCATATATTGGATACATACACTCACAAGTATTTGATCAAATTCCTGGGAATTTCCAAGTCAGTAGGATGGATGACATCCTTCACAGAAGCCTGAAATCAGGAAAATGGCCCAGGCACAGGCTTTGGGGTTGGCACAGCTGGCAGCTGCTGTACCTACTTCCCGGGGGATGCCAGGTACAGTGCAGCCTGGCCAGGCCCATTTGGCCTCCTCACCACCTTCATCCCAGGCTCCTGGTGCACTGCAGGAGTGTTCTCCTACGTTGGCCCCCGGGATGACCCTTGCTTCTGTGCAGGGGACAGCACATGTGGTTAAGGGTGGGGCTACTAGCTCTTCACCTGTTGTAGCCCAGGTTCCTGCTGCCTTCTACATGCAGTCTGTGCATCTACCGGGTAAACCTCAGACACTGGCTGTGAAACGCAAAGCTGAGTCTGAGGAAGAGAGAGATGATATCTCCACTTTGGGTTCAATACTTCCTGCCAAGGCTTCTCCAGCAGCAGAGAGCCCAAAAGTCATGGAGGAGAAGAGTAGTCTTGGAGAGAAAGCTGAACCTGTGGCCAATGTGAATGCTAGTATCCCAAGCAATAAACTGGTAGACTTGACTCCTGCCCCATCAGCACCACCTCCTACACTAGCCATGGTGTCCAGACAAATGGGAGACTCCAAACCCCCACAGGCCATTGTGAAGCCCCAGATTCTCACCCACATCATTGAAGGCTTTGTTATCCAGGAAGGAGCGGAACCTTTCCCGGTGGGTTGTTCACAGTTACTGAAGGAGTCTGAGAAGCCACTACAGACTGGCCTCCAAACTGGACTGAATGAGAGTCAGTCAAGTGGACCCTTGGGAGGGGACAGCCCTTCTGCTGAGTTAGATAAGAAGGCGAATCTCCTGAAGTGCAAGTACTGTGGGAAGTATGTCCCTGCAGAGCAATTTTGTGGCTCTAAGAGGTTTTGCTCCATGACTTGTGCAAAGAGGTACAATGTGAGCTGTAGCCATCAGTTCCGGTTGAAGAGGAAAAAAATGAAAGAGTTTCAGGAAGCCAACTATGCTCGTGTTCATAGGTGTGGACCCCGCCGCAGCTCCTCTGACATTGCCCGTGCCAAGATCCAGGGCAAGCGTCAACGGGGTCAAGAGGACTCTAGCCGGGGTTCAGATAATTCCAGTTATGATGAAGCGCTCTCCCCAACATCTCCTGGGCCATTGTCAGTAAGAGCTGGACATGGAGATCGTGACCTTGGGAACACCATTACAGCTCCCCCCACACCAGAATTACAAGGCATCAACCCTGTGTTCCTGTCCAGCAATCCTAGTCGTTGGAGTGTAGAGGAGGTGTATGAGTTTATCGCTTCTCTCCAAGGCTGCCAAGAAATTGCAGAAGAGTTTCGTTCCCAGGAGATTGATGGACAGGCCCTTTTATTACTTAAAGAAGAACATCTTATGAGTGCCATGAACATCAAATTGTGCCCTGCCCTCAAGATCTGTGCCAAGATAAATGTCCTGAAGGAGACCTAAGGTGGCCCTCTTGCACAAACCAGCCGAAGGCAGACACTCCCCACTGTCCAGGTTATAACCTGGTACCAGCCGACTTTGCAGGGAAGAAAGAGCTATTCGAATTATGTGACCTTCTGTGGGGAGATTACTGAGACAGGGAAGAGAAGTGCAAGAATTGGTTGCTGGTGCTACATAGTGGCAGCTTTGATATTTTCTTTGGGTTTCACTTTAAAATAATCTTTACAGTTCTCATCAATCCCACCTACCCCAATCCAGTCTTTGTAACAAAGGCAGTCCAGAGAACTAGGACTGCTCAGCCTTATCCTGGAGTGGAGCGTCTAGCCAGGGTTTTCCAAGAGGAGAAATATGTGTATGGTAAGGCAGGGAAATGGGTGGAATGTAGTTTTGCTTCTCCAGTGGGAGAGGTAGGGTTTTTCTAGCTTGTGTGACACAAGTAGCAAAATTCTGGTACTTTCCCTCTTCCTTCTGGATTGTCCCACTGTAGCTGTGGCTCAGTATTTTGTTATCACTTATTCCCTTAGTATTGAATATTTCTCCTGCATCCGTGGCAGGGTCACCAGCCAGGGTAGAAACTTGGTTGGAATCTTTCTGATTTGCTGCAGGGACTAAAAGTGTTTGACTGGCAAAAAAAAAAAAAAAAAAATCAAACACTGAAAGAAAATGGGTTCCAACCAAGATTTGTGTTTCCAGTGAAATTAAGCTTCAGGATGGAAGATGAAATTAAAACCTTCCACGATAAACAAAAGTTAAAAGAATTTGCAGCTAGAAAACCATCTCTTCAAAACATCCTTGGCAAAACATTACAGGAAGAGGAAATGGAAAATAACAATGAAAACCAACAGTGGGAGGTAGGACAGTAAAGGGGGGAAAAATAATCAAAGAGGAAAACAAACCAAGTTTAGTAACATAAATAAACAAATATGGCTGGAAGAACAACCCATATCTCAATAATAACCCTAAATGTTAATGGCTTAAACTCACCAAT